TTGTTTATTCTCTCTCTCTCTCTCTCTCTCACACACACACACACACACACACAAATGCACAGACACACACACACAAACACACACACACACACACACAAATGCACAGACACACACACACAAACACACACACACACACACACAAATGCACAGCTCCAGTTGTAATCAGTTTAATGTAATCAGTTTAATAACTGGAAAAACTTAAAAAGCTAAAAGTCTAGCAGCACCTTAAAGACTAACGAAACATATAGGTGGTATTATGAGCTTTCGTGGGCACAGTCCTCTTCTTCAGAGTCATTAAAAGAATCATTTACTTCATTGGACTTTGGATCATTAACTAAATAATTCACAAGGTGTTATCACTATTAAGTAGAATTACAGAAAAATACTTTATTTCAAAAGTTTAACCCACTCATCACAAATGACCTACTGTATGATACATTACGGTGCTGGTTGAACCTCTGGGGTCTGGGACTCTCTGTTCCAGCAACAGCCATGATCTGGAAGGACCACAGATGATTCTGGACAAGAGAATCTTAGTGGCAGAGGTTGGTGGTGGCTCAGAGCGGAGCTGGATGGTGAACTAGCAGGGCAGTAGAGCCCACAGGGCACCAGAGCTCCCAGCCGCTGGGGCTGGGAAGCTGGTAGGGCGACTAAGAGGTCCAACGTGGCAGCAGAGCCCCCAGCCAGTAGGAGAGGGCAGCAAAGCCCCCAGTCATTGGGGCCACTGGGAGCTCTGGAAGGGCTGCTGCAAGGCTTAAGGGGCCGGGAGCTTGCGGGTGCGGGGGAGGAAGGGGCTGCTGCAGCTCACGGGGACAGGAGTCTTGGGAGGGGAGCCCAAGTGGCTGGGAAGAGCCCAGTGAGGAGGAGGAGGATGGTATTCATATTGCAAAAATAAAATGAAATACGTTTCAATTTTAGCAAAGTAATTACAACTATAAAATTTAATTTGTTAGTGCTTCAATGAGAGAGAAGTTTGCACTTGATTATTTTTTAATATTTCAAAAACCCTTTGACAAGTTCCCTCACCAACGGCTCTTGAACAAAGTAAGCAGCCATGGGATAAGAGGAAATGTCTTCGCATGGATCAGTAAATAATTAAAAGACAGGAAGAGGTTATCAATAAATCAATGGTCAGTTTCCACAGTGTAGAGAGGTAAATAGTAGCTCCACCAAAGCTGTACTAGCAGCTGCTATTTAACATGATCATAAGTGATTTGGAAAAGGAAGTCAACAGTGAGGTGGCAAAGTTTGCAGATGATACAAAATTATTCATGATACAGTAAAAGTCCAGTGGTCCGGCATCCAATGGTCCAGGACTCCTGATGGTCTGGCACCATCTGGAACCCAAAAGTGCTCCGGGCAGCCGGACAATTGTAGCTGCTCTGCCCCCAGCTTCCCCGATTCAGCCACTGCTGAAACTGACCAGCGGCTGACTCCGGAAAGCCCGGGGCAGAGCGTGCTGTGCCCCAGGCTTCCCGGAGTCAGCTGCTGGTCCGTTTCAGCAGCAGCTGACTTGGGGAAGTCTGGGGCAGAGCAGCTGGGGCGCTTCTGGGTTGGTCCTGCAGAGTCGAGGGGCGTATCCCCCCCACTCCACCACAGATCCCTCATAGCCCCTCCTTCCTATAGTCCAGCATATTTGATAATCTGGCACCCCCTGGTCCTAAAGTGCCGGATTATCAGAAGTTTACTGTAGTTAAATCTAAAGCTGACTATGAAGAGTTATAAAGGGATCACAAAAATCTGGATGACTGGGCAGCAAAATGGCAAAAGAAATGCAGTGTTGATAAAAGCAAATAATGCAAATTGAAAAGCATAATACCAAGTATACATAAAAAGTGATTGTGTCTAAAATAGCTGATACCCCTCAAGAAAGAGTCCTTGGAGTCACTGTGGATAGCTCTTTGAAAACACCCATGCAATGTATATTGGCAGTAAAAATGGCAACAGAATATTAAGAATAGAAATAGGATAGATAATAAGAGAGAAAATATCATACATTCCACTGTACAAAACCATTATATCCACATCTTGAATATTGCATACACGACTGATCAGAAAAGACATACACAGTCGCTGGATTTGAAAATGTTGAAAAAAGTACAGACAAATGATTACGGATCTGGAAGAGCTTCCATATGAAGAGAAATTAAAAAAAAAAAGATTGTGACTTGGAAAAGAGACAAGAAAGGGGGGAATATGATAGAAATCAATAAATCATGATGGATGCAGAGAAAGTGAATAAGGAAATATTATTGATCTCTTCACACAACACAGGTACCAGGGGTCATTCAATGAAATTAATAGGCAGCTGGTACAAACCAAACCAAAGGAAATACTTTTTCACATAATGCATAGTCAACCTGTGGGACTCACTGTCAGGGGACATTGTGAAAGCCAAAAGTACAACTGGATTAAAAAAAAAAGAATTAGATAC